TGGAAGCCACGGATATTTGATGAATTATGGCGAATTTGTATTATTTATTTGATAGGCATCGGGTTACTATAATATGACTTCATGTAGGCTATGCTTTTTAATGTTGAAATCAGCTTCCAAGACCAAAACATTTTGAATAAAGCAAGAAACAAAGAGTATGCAATGTAACCATCTAATTTCTTTTCAAATCCTCATTCTTGAAAGTTAAATTCTATATTTTGGACATTTTTCATGAAATCTGTCAACCATGCTGCCATGGTCGATGTTGCTTTACCTATCCCGATGTATTCCAACCATCATGAGGCTATCTAAATGAGCATTTGTCATAACAGAACGCAAATTATTTTTAATTAGTCTCATTGAATTGTTATTATTATTATTATTATTATTATTATTATTATTATTATTATTATTATTATTATTATTATTATTATTATTGTTATTGTTATTGTTGTTGTTGTGATGAAAAGTTAACACAAACAATATGGTGGCTAAACGAATACTACATGTAAATTTTTTTTAAATTTGTCTGTTTCCCGACAAAATTTATCGTCTTCCCCGACGTGGAGGGGGGGGGGGCTATAGCCCCCAGCCCCCTCTGGCGCCACCACTGTCGCCTTGATAGCGAAAGGTTGCAGCATGGACCTAATAATGATTGCAGATGCCAGACCTACTATGACACACTTTTTCATACATAGGATTGATTTTTTTTCTTTTCCGTAAATGAGCTATACACATGATAGGCCTACCATTATAGCATTATGTGTTCCTATATTCGAGCACTGTTTCTACTATTCATTCTATTGAGTTTAACCGGGGAGGTGCTCTGCTATAGAAAGCAACTCCACAACAGTTACTATTATTTCTATTTTGATTATGCATTATTAATAGTATTTGAAGTTTTTTATTTATTTTTTAAAATTTTATGTTGTTTGACTATTGTAGCTGTACAAAGGTCATTGTAGGTGTACTATGCCTTATGTGTGTGTCTAAAATAGGCCTTTTGTGTGTATAAATAGGCCTTTTGTGTGTGTCTAAATAGGATTTAACAAATGTTACACACCATAAGAATACATAGTAATTACCGTGTTATTTCACTGTATAATATAGGCCTATTAATATATTTATTATACAGTGGAAAATTCTAAAAAAGGACCACCTTCGGGGGGTAGAAAATGTGGCCCTTTAATAGTACGGTGGCTTTAATTTAGTTTGGGCACTTAAGAATATGATTTTCTTCGCTCGGGTGAGTAAACGTTCGTCCTTTAATAAAGATAATTTTATTAATAAATGTAATTTTTTTTAGAGTTTCAACATGTTTATCATAAATGTTTCTGTAATTGATATAATTCATCAATATTATATTATTTGTATTTGTTAATTTAAAAAAAAAACCGCTTTATTATTTATTATAGAGCTGTTCGGGAGCAAACACAGAGTGGTGTAGATATGCGAGTCGGAATTCATACAGGAGCAGTTCTAGCTGGTGTAATGGGTCAGAGACAGTGGCAATTTGACGTATGGAGTGACGGGGTCAAGCTGGCCAACTGCATGGAATCTGGTGGAATTCCCGGGTAACGGAAACAATCATAATAGACCCACTGATCTTTACTATCATATCCAGCTATTATAGTAGAGATCAGTGAATTGACCTTTCCGTAGTGTCGCTCAATCAAACTTAACAACTGACTAATCAGAATAGCGCTAGTCCCACAAACGCAAGTGTTCGCGTATGTTTTAAGGCTATGTTCAGACACAACGACTTAAGCTAGAGAAAGGCCTAGTTCAGACTAGGTGGATAAACCCGGCTCAACTCACCGGGTTTATCCACCTGCCAGTCTGAACTAGGTGGCTTATCTCAAGCCGGGCTGTGTTCCTATAGTAACCAGGCCTGGCGTTCCACCGTGTTTAACGTTTCTAAACCGGGCTTTAATCGTTGCGGGGGGTCAAATTGCATTGACTTCCGGGTAACAAAATGACCAATCAGCGTTTGGCGAGCAATGTTTTGAAACACGTTTCCTGGTTACGGTTCATTATTATGGAAATTCTCGCCTGGCTAAACCCGCTAGTTTGATCGCCCGGCAAAGTTAAGCCAGGCTTAACGTTAAGCCGGGCCTTACTCAAGCCTGGCTTATCGCCAAGTCTGAACGTAGCCTAACGTTAATCGAGTGGTGTGAACTTGTGCGCGGCGTAGCGAACGCCAGTATTAGCGAGCTTTCGAAATGGGCGACGCGGGGACCTGCGACGGGGAATTCAGTCAACCATGAACGTCGTACTTTGCACTTCCCGTCTCAACATCTAATCAAAGCTGTTTCGATTTACAGGACGACACGCGCTCCCTCGTATCGCGCGCCCCAGCGAGCGCGTATTTATAAAACTCACGTTGCGTAGTCAACACAACGCCAAATCGCTTAAAGCCCGCTGTCAAATCCACGCAATGAACGACTTCCCCATGTATTCGCATGCGCAGTACGGTTTCACGCTCCACTGCCCGTCGTAGACTGAATTCCACGTCGCAGCCCCCCTCGACGCCCATTTCGAAAGCTGGCGTACGTTAATCCAGCAACAGACCCCAAATTAGCGTACGCCACCGAGTTACGACAGTCACACATCAGTGATTTTGAACTCGGCCAGGATTTGACCAATCAAAATAAGCCTAGATGTAAACAGGAAATAAAGTGCGCGAATTACGAATACGAATATTTCGCGCGAATACTTGCGCTAGCGTTCGTTAATCGCACAGTCTGGACATCTCGCTAGTTACGCCATGGACTAACGTACGCCCGGCGATAGATACGCCTGGCGTATCTCTCAGGTCTGAACGTAGCCTAAGAGTAGTCTTGTGGGACATTAGCAACATATGTAAGGGGCGGGCTTACCGAAAAGGTACATTAACCATGTTTAGCTAATGTTATTCATACATTAATTTAAATATTCATGTTATAATTAATAAATAATGTTCTTAAAACATTGATGTAGGCTACGAACAAACGTCATTGCAATGTTTTAGCAAACACATCACATGATATGGATACTTTGTTGTCGTAATGTGTGAATGTATTGAGTTGACACTGAATGACTCCAATTTATATTAATAAAATGTTTAGGCGAGTTCATATATCTCAGACAACGTACGATTGCCTAAGTGATGACTTTGAGGTTGAACCAGGTGATGGTGAAACCAGGTCTGATTATATCAAAATGCAGAATATGAAAACCTACCTAATCAAGCCAGTTAAAGACAAAAAGGTAAATCGTTGTCATATTTCTCCGTTTGTGCAATTTACATTTATAAAGAAAAAATATCAATAGGCCTCTATATATTATAAATCATCAAAGGTACATATACAGTGTTTAAATAAGGACATGATGGAACAACGTATGCTACCCTGTAGCTTTTCAACGAATTAAGTTCTATAAAAGTCATTGTGTAATAAAATTCCTCAGACGGGATTCGAACCTGCGACCTCTCGCTGACAAGGCGAGCGTCATAACCATGAGACCACGAAGGCTTCATGGTTGAACAGGTCCAAATAACCGTCGGGAACATTGTATTACACAATGCTACGCCTCAAGAGGGCGTTCGGCCAGATAAATCTGGCAATACGGCTAGAAATACTGTCGTATATTATATATGATATTGAAGGGAGTTAGCCGTTAACACTGTTGAATAAATATAATATAAACCATCAAATGTACATATACAGTGTTTAAATAAGAATATATATGTATATATATATATATATATATATATATAAAATTTGTATATTATACGCTATAGCCAACTTGTTGCTCTAAAATATTAGCATTATTATTTTTCCATACAACAGTTTGGTGACGTCAATAATGTTACTAGTCAATTGCCCATCCTTGTAGTCAAATAAAAATATTTACCGCATACAATATTTTTCATAAATTATTAACTCCAAGATGTATGCTCAGTTTTGAAATAAAATTTATTAAACAGGAATCTTGCCAATTTGGCGTTGTACCACACAATGAATTTCCGTTGATATGTTTTGTTTATCTTACTTACGCACCTGTTGTGATTATGGTTCAAATACATTTTGTTGTAGAGATCTAAAAGCACAGCATTGATACTCACAAAGCCAACGGAAGAGAAAACTAGTGCAGAAAGGACAGACGATGATGATATTCCCGTTATCTACTTGAACAACACGGCTGAAGTAAACAAGGTAAGATTTTTTTTAATGCGAATACGATTCATCTCTATGTATGTTTGGCATCATGCATAATGTTAACATAACATATCTACTCATAAATTGCTGTTTACATTTTCCTGGCTAATGTAGAATTCTTTCAAGGTCAAGTGCTAATAGAATGAATAAATAATAATATGACGTCTTTGCTTAAATTCTGAAATTAACACGACAGTGACTATAATCGTTAGGTAATGTCACCAGCAAATAGATCTCCTTTTCTCTACAGGTCTATGTGCTGTCCAAGATATAAAATACTGTATTTATATTACAGTAAGAGTAGGCCTATATTTTGTTTTAATATCGTTCTGGTAACAGCGCTATCAAGGAAATTGCAAGGGCAGTACCGTAAAACCTCGAATTGAAGCTCTGTGGGCTTAATCTCGAGATGAAGCCCATCTCGAATTGAAGCCCCCTCTTTATTTTGCAAAATAAGCATCGAAAAAAGCCCCCCCCCCAAAAAAAAAAAAAAAAAAAATAATAATAATAATAATAATAACATAGTCTACTTTTCAAGATAGTATCAGTCACACTGTGCATGAATTTCAGAAAACAAAATAAATTAAAAACAAGCTTGGTTTATACATTAGTTTACGTGATTTAATGCCAGTTAAATACACTCCATAATACAGATTGATGTTACATTCACCTTATTTATTGTTTAATTGTGCAAATTCACAAAATTTACAGCATTTATATTGAAAAAAAGCCCCCTCTTTACTTTGCAAAAGTAGTCTCGAAAAGAAGCCCATCCAAAGTTCGCAGAAAAAAAGAAGCACAGGGCTTCAATTCGAGGTTTTACGGTATTCCATGGTCACCTGAAAAGCAAACCACGTACTTTTTCCCATATATAATAAATATTATATGTATATATAACATATATATAATAGTGTTTACTTTCTTTTTCTTTATATTTTACTGGTAACATGTTCACTTGTAGGCTATATAGTATAAATAATACAAAACAATATTAATGATATCAAGGACCAATGAAAATCATGCTGCAAATAAATAATAAATGTAGTATTATAAATTATACAGCCATATATAAAATATATATTTAAAAAGTTTTACAGCCACCCCCTCCTCGATCGGCCTCACTTTCGCCCCTCTCCCCCCCCCCCCCCCCCCCCCCCCCGCG